GATCGTTCTCATGTTCTCTACTGCAGTTTTGGAACTATATTTGCAGAACTTTTGTCCAAAGAAATAAAAATCAGATGTATATGTAAACTGACAATATGCCAGTTTTGAACTGATATATTCCATTTTTCTATAAAAGATGCAGATGTTTTTCAGATTTAAGGGTTATTGATTTATTGATTTTTGCCTGCTATATAATAAATTATATGACAAAAATGTGCCTGTAATTAATTCTGCAATCAAGTGTTAGTGTCCCTGTTGTCATCATCATCATTATTATTATTGTCTATGAGGGATGGACCACAAAGAAGGCAAACTGACAAAGCATCTTCTATGCAATTCTCTGACTGTTGCAGACATCACGGACCATAACGTAAATATTTTCTATTCTTAGTTATTAATAAGAGTAATTTGAAGGAGAAAACCATTGTTAAATTTCATCAAAAATTTTGTAAAAATAATACTGTAATCTATAGAACTTTTAAGAGTTCTTTACATCCTTCCACTGACATTCATAGAAATCTTGCTTACCTTTGATATCTGTGCTCTTTGTTTAAAGACATTTGAGATGGCTACAGATATAAGTATATTTGTGATTTAATTACATTGTGCAGACAGGAAGAATAATGCTGAAAACTGTATTTTTTAATTAAAGGCTCATTGATATTTATTAATGAGTTATGTTTATAGCTCATTGATTTCCACTACAAAATGTTAAGGGAAAGTTATCTTGTGGAAACATGGTGTCAATCGAGACCTGTGTATTGACTCATTTTAAATAGTGAACACAATCCCTCCTCCTCTATAGATACTGCTCTGAATCAGGACTGCAAATTCAAAGTTAAATATTGAGCATTAAATTTCTCACTGTTGTCTTCTTTTGAAGTATACATTTTTCTAATAATTTATTTCTCTTATGTATGGTGTTTGTAAGCCTTAAAAATATGAGCAATACACATTTACTAGAAAAATGATCATAGATGATACATATTCCTTTTGAAAAAGTCTCTATGAGCATTTGGACTAAAGTTATGCCAAACAAAATAATATTTTCTTCTATGTCAGAAAATACTATTTTGTATTCTTATAGCTGTCTATCATGTAGCAATTTTGACAAGTCTTGTTAAATTTAAACAAAGGAGAGAAGAGAACTTTACTGAATACTTTTCTGAGGACTGAGCTAAGCATTGCACTAACTGATATTCACCTCTGTTATCCATATAAACAATCATAAATCAAGCTAACTCAGGATTATGTAAACCAGTGCATCTGTTTGTTTTTCCTAATCTTAGGCTTTCTTTTAAATTTTTAGTTTCCTTGAAATGAACACCAGGACTCAGTACACAGGAATAGATATAAGCACCAAGTTACACCAAAGCATTTCCTACGTTAGTGCCTATGAGACAGCTGACAGAAAATTATCAAGGGCCTATCAAATAATGACCATTCCAAAACTTTCCATTCCCAATTAAAACTACAGCCCAGCAATTTATTAAACCCATCCATTTTGTTTCGAAGGGCCTGGAATGAAACCCAATAGAATTATGGCTCTGTTTTGGGAGTAAGTAAAATCTAATAAAATGGTTCCTTTGTATAGCAACTAGATTATCAGTTTCTGTGATTACCATTGTACAGAAATTTCATGTCTTCTAAATAGACACAGAAATCTTGAACATATGGATTAATTTTAATGAAGTTGACATTATATTGAGTGAGTTAGGTTTGACAATGGAATCATATTATGAACCAGAAACCTTCTGGATTTCTCTTGAATGTGGTTCTCTTACCACTTAGTAAGAGTTTCCCATTCAGCATACTTATTTCCCCAAAACACCTTGCTCAAATTTTAGCTATTTTATTAGTTATTAATTTTACTTTTACTTGGGGATATTTTCTTTGCTTTAATATAGCCAGAAATTGTATGTTCCTTTGATGTTTCTTTGCCACATCCTTCTCTTCCTTTAAAGTGGTAATAAATGTTTAAAACACTGTTTTAAATGATCGGTTCACTGAAAAACATCATGTCATAGATACCTTGACAAAAGTTATTTAGAATGACAAACTGTTTACAGGATTTGTATTTTACTATAATGATTGAGATTTCAGTGTATGCAATTGAGGCACTAAATAAATTCTACGTATTATGATAGCTCAACTACCACATATCTCATTTCTTTGGATATAATAATGTACTGATAATTTATATAATAGAAATATGAGGTCTTATTAGAAGGTCATCATCATAATATCATGGGGGGTACCAAAATGTACCTTTTAACAAAGGAAATAAGACAATATTAACACTTGTCTTAGGCAACTCAAGACTGTATTTTATTTTGGAATAAAAGTTTTATTATAATTGAACTGCAATAAAAGTAATTGGAAATTTATGAAAATGGAGTCATTCCAATTATGAAGATGGAATTGAGTGATGCTATTAAAACACACCTTCATAAATGACTACTATCTTACACTTCTTATATAACACCCCATTCAAGGAAGCTAATTGTTTCTTAGTGCTTGTTTGGACTTTATTCCAGCCATTTAAAAGCACAATTTAAGCTAAATTCATTAGTTCTTAGCATGTTAAATTGCATAGCAATAGAGTTATTAAGCACAAATTGCAAAAAAGTATTTGCTTTGATGACAGTCGTATTTTATTTTATAACCCTCTTAACACTTTCTACAAATAGCTCACTGCCTAAAACACTTGCATATTTAAGGATCTTTAAAAGCTTTTTTTCACTTTATTGACATAGTCCATAGAATATATACCCATAAATTCCCATGATGAATCAGCTGGCATAACATAGATGTTAAAATACATCAAGATGGAGGGATAAATTTCATTCAATACCCTGTATCACTTACAGAAAGGAGCAAAGAAAATCTCATCCTGCTGGGCGTGGTGGTACACACCTGTAATCCCAGCACTCAGGAGGCCAAGGCAAGAGGATCTCTGTGAGTTTGAGACCAGCCTGGACTACATAGTGAGTTCTAGGTCAGTCTCAACTACACAGTGAGATCCTGTCTCAAACCCCACCCTCAAAAAAAAAAACAAAATACTCATCCTACAGTTTCATAATGCAGATATTCAGTAAGGAACTGTGTTTGAGATAAACAATTTTTTTGATAAATGAAGAACTCGCTTAATTTATAATTACATATATTCAAATTAATTTTCATTTAAATATACTGTTATTGGTTCATTTACTTCTATTAATGCATAGATTACAGTTACTTTAGCCTGTAGAGTCATAATTTAAGTATCTAAGTACATACACAAAACATAAGTATAAAACATGCATGCAAATACGCAGACGTACTTGTATAAAGATATTTGTTTTTAACCAATAATGTGCATAATAAGAAGTATCAAAGTTTAAAAAAATTCCATACATGATACCTCTATTTTACCAATAATCTGTTAAGTTAATATCACATTGATAGACACCTGGCTATATACAGAAATCTGATTCTTTGACTATAATGCATGCATGCATATGAAACTTGGAAATGAAAACATTTACTGTCCTTTTTCTTTCCTCTAAGAAACTATATATTGAAAATGAGAAATATATTTCTAACATATCTGAAACAAATATAGTTTAAAACTGGTTTCAAATATAGAAGTAAAAATATAGCACAAACCACAAAAGAATTGATAGTAATCAAACAATTTTTAAGAAAACAGAACAAAACAAACAATATATCAATTGATAAATCTTTTAATCTTTCAGCTGATTCCAAGATCTTATGTATACACATGAATATGAAAATTTTGTCCTATTAAAATTACCAATTTACGAAGTGGCTTGATTACGAACTTAAGAAAAATATTTTCAATTACTTATTTTGAAATTGAAAGAACATATATGTCACACATTCATTTTAGACCTCATTATGTTACTTATTTTAATATCTCCCATTTTATATATTCACTTCATTTAATGATATAAGCCAAGCTAATCTGGAATTCACATGCCTAAAATATATTGGTATATGCCAATGTGAAGATAGGTCCTTTCTTTATACATCCATAGCTGTATGCATTGTCCACACTTTCCTTTTGGGAAGGTAAGCATGAAGCAGTATGTCTAGAATTTCTTTTTGGCAGTGAACTTAGGTGTTGCAGCACCTCATAGAACAAAGGAAGGCAAATGACCTAGTCAAATCTTCTTGCAAGTATGACATTGACATAACTCCTGGCAAACGATCTCATTTTTACTGAGACTTAGTGAAAATTTATTGTTACTGAGAACTTGTGATTTACATGGCTTTTGGCTTGTGCTGAAAAAAACAATGTATGCACTATTTAGTACTTTTCTTTCCAATTTTCACATATAATATGGTGTATAATTGTTTTGCCAGAGAAAAAGAAGAAAAGAGAATAGGATTTATATTTTTACAAGAAAAACATTTATAAGTCTTTAGAGTAATTCATAACTATATTCCTTTAAAAAATTCTGTATCTGTGGACTAGGGATTTTGATTATTAGGAAAAACACCAATTGAACTCATAGAAACTTGCCCAATGTAATGCAATTGTATAAATATAAATATATATATGAATATATACATATATATGCATGTGTGTTTGACAACTTATGTGATAACCAAATTTAAATAAATTATGAAAAATCTTGCAGGATCACTTACCCCTTTGCCAAAGAATTAAAACTAATAAGCGTAAAAATATAAAAATACTAAATCTCATTCAATTTATATAATATTCTATGTTTGTTTTAAACAGTATTTAGTTGTTATATAAATATTCAAAGATAGTTTGATTTTTACCGGTGTGTATATAAATAATTGATTATCAAAATATAAAACGCATCTATTTCTATTCAATGGCATTGTTTTAGGACAAGTAAATGCAGTTTTAAATATGTGAAAAAGCAATATTTGAAGAAGAAAAATTCACACAAATAAAAGCACAGCATTATTTCCTGGCAATGAGCACTCACACACACTCCAAGACTATAGGTAAGTACACTGACCTGTCTTAGGGTCTACAGAGAAGTAGGGCTGGCCCTGGAGAATGCTGTAAACAACTCGAGCGCTGTTGCCATAGGTAGGGTCATCTGCATCTGTGGCCGTCACCTGTAGAACAGAGGTACCTGTGCATTCAGGAAAACAAATTTTAGTGTGTGATGGCGTAAAGGACATGGTTAATTTGAACACAGACAAGGGGTGTGCTTAAATATCTAATGGAGAGGCAAAATGAATATTTCATACAAAATTGAGTTTTTAAATTTGAAATTTTTTTTCTTTCAGTCTCTGCCACATACTCTACTGAATGAATCCAAAGCGGAACACTTGCTCTTAGATATATGTATGTCCCATTAACATGGTGAAGTGTCTTTTTTGACCTCATATGCATCAGAATAGGCGTGGGTTGATGCTCATTAATGAAATTGATATTACCTGTTGGATTAATGGTGGGTAAGTTTAGGGTGTACAGAGCTCCCTGAAAAGTTTTCAGCAAACTATCAATAGAATTGTTTTTGATTAAGGTAGGAAGATGAATAAGTTAACAGTATATTTCAGTGACATCAAAAGAACCCATTGAAATAACTTTCCATAATTCATTTTGATTTTTTTGTCTATATATATTAGTAATGAGTCTCAAAACTGTCCTCTAGATTCATGTATTATTCTATCATTGCTTAATCACAGAAAGAAATACATAATTATCTTTCTAAAATTGATAGTACAATATGCCTGAGCAACTAGATCTTTTAACATTAAAATGCATTTTAAAGTAACTTACTAACATACTGTATTTTAGGGGATAAAATTATAGATCTATTATGCTGGTTACTTTATTTATGTATTATGACACAATTTGAGTAATTAAATACATGTCTATTGTATTTCAGCTATTTCTAATTCAAAACTTATGTAAATGCAATGTTAAAAACTATCAATTAATGGATATGCAACTTTACTATAAAATTTTAAGCAAAGACCTCTCACAAAATGTATCTTATGAGACATCTAATAATACATAATGTTTAATTTTATACGAAAATAATTCTATGTTCTTTTTCATGTATCAAGTAAAATACTTTTATAATCAAGTAAGGCTCTATAAAAATGTGTATTCATTCTGGTATTTGAATATAGAGACACTGACATTTTTACTTTTGAATTTTAATAATTATCTTAATGATTCAGGAATTAATATCTATTCAACTATAAAACTTGTACTTCCTATTGAAAATTTGACACAAGTTTAAAAGAACTGTTTTGTGTCTTTAAGAATCCTAAAGAGTTTATTAGAATTGGTATGGCAACTTCAGCTCAACCCCAATTAGAAGATCATAAATGTAAGTGTACTGCTAATAGCATACTATTGGCTGGCCTTTCTATACTACTTTGACATTGAGACTCTAAAATTAAATGTAATGTATAATTACACATACTCAAAAGGGGAGGATTGTGTCTTGTTTTAAAGCAATTTCAAATTATAGCACAGTAAAACCAACAATGACAGTTAATGTTGGTAAGAACGTCTACAATTTGGGTCAGATACACACAGCTGGTGGAAATATGAGAATCTGGCTATTTCTTATATGAGAAAACACATACCATAAACCATAAAACCCAGCACATCCTAATTAGACATTTATACCAAAGACATTAAAACTTACATTTACTATAAACCTATTTACAAATACTCAGGATAGAATTGTTTGAAATGGTTCCCAAACTAGACATGACCCCAATATTCCACAGTGGGACACTGCTTAAATCAACTGTGGTACAGTCTTCTTATGGGAAAACACTGAGCAATGACAATTCAAATGAACAAAACATTGGTTTTCATAACAACTTGGATAAATCTTTATGTTATCATACTAAGTAAAATAAAAGGCAGTACTATAAAATCTTTGGTTTATGATTTTATTTATATAATGTTCTTGAAATGCTTAAATTTTAAGATGAATAACAGAATATTTGCCAGAAGTTTGGGGATAAGGAATGGAGGAAGATAGCCTTGTTACAAAAAGACAGCAGATGTCTTGATGATGCTGAAACTTCAGTATTTTGACTATAATAGTGAAATGAGGACTGTCTACAAGTTGTACAAGAGCGCATAACTAAACTTCCATATTTGCACAAATGCAAATTTGCATAAGTAAATAAGATTAGTAGATGGTATCATTCCCATATACTGGTTATACTATTTTATTGTTTTGAAAGACAGTACCATTGTAAGAAAGTGAGTAAAAGGTACAAAAAGTGTCTTCATATTTGGCCCCATACCTATATGTGTATCTGTAACCATCTCAAAATTAAAAGTATAGGAAAAATATGTCCCTGATTCAGGGGAAGTCCTATCACTGAGAGGTATTTGGGCTTGTGTGTGCTATATATTTTCTTAGCAGATTACTAAAATTTATGCCTCTATAAATTAATTCCCAACACAAATTTATGAGGTCTTGTCACATACAGACTTCTCACCCTTATGTGTAATTATAATAACATATACACAACTTTTTATTTTATATCACATCACATGACCCATATTCCATATTTATTTGTCTAATTTGTTTTGAATATGCAGACATTTATGTGTAGACATTTATGAACAAAAGTTTGTTTAGGAAGAATTTCATCACTACATCTCTGAGAAGAAAAATTAAAATCTCTAGTTAGGTAGCCAGGTCAGACTCCAAAGTTTTAGCAAGCTCATAATGATTCCAAATATTATAATCTTATGTCAACTCAATCACTGATTTAATAACAAAAATATGAATGGCCGTAGGCATACAGGGGCTGTGGGTATTAGGGGAGCAGATATTTAGAAGACAGTAGAATAATGGTCATTAAGAAATCAGACTTATAAAATCCTCAGACTTTTAAGCTAGCTCAGCCCCTGAAATACTGATTTAAAGCTAAGTAGATTTTAATGTGTAAAAAGAAATCCCTGAGCAAACATTCCATGAAGAAAAGCTGAGTAAGATCACACCTCATTTACTAAGATAGGCTTAATCACAACATGAAAGGAGCAGAATTGCCCAGCTTGGAATGAGGTGCTCACGAAAGTTCATTCTTGTTAATTGAGAGTTTTGATTCATGAAGGCAGCAGCAAGTTAGATCAGTTATTAGAAGAAAAGTCAAACAAGGAAGGGTCTTATTGTAGTAATGTCTGGCTGTTTAGTGAGGGAAATCAGAAAAGAATAAAAGAAAACACACCTATCTAACTGCATCTAGAAGTATGGTTATTGATAGCTACATACATTCCTGTACAGTGGATCTCATAGATATTCAGCAATTGTAATTGTTCTTTGAACTATAGCAGCATTTTAACCTCCTGTCCTGTACTCTGGTGGTGTCTGGAATGTCAGGGTGACACTCTGAGTACCCAGATGCCAGTGAGAGAGAGCAAAGGTACATGAACAGCCACGCTCAACAAAAAGCCCACCTGTCAGAGAATACAGTGGGAGTAGCCATAAATTAGCAGGGATGGAAAAAATACCCTTTCCCAATTGTACAAGTGATTCTTACAAGAAGGATATATAGGAGAATTTTGGCCTCGGAGGAAAATACATACATATTACTTTCTTGTTTATTAGAAATCTAGATGAAAAATTGAAGACTCATTGGTACTTAAAGAACATCTTTTACATTGGGGCAAGTGTTTCTTTTAGTGATAAATGCTGTAGAGTGAATATTTGGGCCCCCTCCATGAAGCCCGTATTCTGAAATCTTATCTCTAGTGATTGTGTTTGTTGGTGAGGAATTTGCAGGGAGATTAGGCCTCCTGAGTGAGATCAGTGCCCTTATGAAGACAGAGCTTCTTCACGTTTTCTGCCATGTGGGAGCACAGTGAGAGGAGGCCTTCTGCAAACCACAATGCCGGCCCTCGCCCTGACCCTGAACCTTGACCTGCACTTGACCCTAGAAGTCTCACTCTCCTCACTCTGACAGCCCTAACCCTAACCCTACTTGTTGTTTATGTCCTCCAGTCTCTAGTATCTTGTTACAGTAGTCCAGACTATGACAACTAGATAAATAAATCAAATAAATACAGTCAATCGATCAAGCAAATAATCAAAAGCAGATCTCCTCAAAGAGTGTGCTGTGGGTTGACTTGTCCCCTCAAATGTCACGTTTCAAATTCCTAACCCGCTCTCTGTACTCACGTTTATCAACATAGTTGGAAACAGTGTTGCTGTCTGTGTGGTTAATTAAGAAGAGGTCATACTGGAGTAGTGGGGGCCTCTAAAATAATATGGTAATTATCTTTCCAAACCTGGGAAATTTGGAGACAGACTGATGGACAGGCACAAGCACAAATACACTTACAAACACAGAGGAAGAAAATTATGAGCAGATGGAAGCCGAGGTTGGGATGATGCATCAAAGAGCACAAAAGATCTCCAGTGAAACACGAGAAGCTGTGAGACAACCAGGAAACAGATCTTCCTAAGGAATTTCAGAAGGAGCAGGGTCCTTCTCACATATGGCTGCAGACGTTTTGTTTTTGGAATCACTAAGCCGTGCATTCTGCTTTTTAAGTCACCTGGATTATGGACCATAACTATGGCAAATTTAGCAAATGAATATGATGAATTATTAGAAATTCAGTGGTAAAAATCATGTTTATATAATCGCTTACAGCTGTTTCCTAACTTTAAAATTATAAGTCAAGAAAACCTAGTAGATAGTTTCCTGAGCTATTTAATGTCACAGAGATCATAAATTAGAACAATTAGAACTTAAAACTAGATTAAACTAAACAGATAAATAGTTAAAGATTTTTATCACCATCAGGCATCACTGTGATCTATTTGCTGGTATTGTAAAGAAAATTAATAAGTTATATGGGGCATTAAATTAACAATTTTGTTTCTTGTTAAATTTTCAAATTGAAATTTATGAATATTTATCTATGTCTGAGGAAAGTTACTCACACTTCATCATTCAATTCCTTCATTTAATTCTGTGCTGAAGTTGTACTATTAGTAGAAAAGTTAAAATTATTATCTTCTTCAGTGCCAGGTTTCTGAAGAAAAATATATAAAGTGATATCTGAAATTCCACTTTTCTATTAGAAGATTCAAACAGGAATCTTATTTTCTCCATGAATTTTATGGTTTTGATCAAT